CCCCAAAACCCCAAAACCCCGCCAAGAGAAATTCTGTTTGTTAAGGAAATTAAATCTACAGCTAAATTAAATCTTAGAAATCAATTCGAGATAATTCACATACACAAATACAATAATTATACATATAACTTTTAAATTGATTGCAATCAGCAAGAGCATTTCGAGGCCCCATACTTGGTCTTACTATGTCTTTCAAGGATTAAATTGCTTTCTCTTCTATTGCTAGTCCTGAATGAGTCTCTTTTTTGTACCTATATTTTCCCCCTTGGAGATCCTGATGCTTTTCTTTCCATACTTTATCTTTTTCTCATAAGCTAATACTCATGTGAGTAGAAGCCAGCTCCATAGAAGATATTTTCAACTCCATCTTTATTATGAGCACTGCTCTCAATGTAGATCTTTGCTTTGCCTGAATCAACCCAGTACTCATTAATAGTTTAACTGTCTATTAATCGCTCCTTATCACTTTTATTGCCTACAAGTATGATTGGAATATCATGTTTTATATCATCACCCATCACTTGCTGGAAAGTGCTGACCCACTTCTCAACATTGGAGTAAGTTGCCAAATCACTCAAATCAAAGACTATCACACAGCAATCTGTTCCCCTATAAAAAGCTGTGCATAGACTTTAGAATCTCTCCTGACCAGCAGTATCCCAGATCTGTAGATGCACTTCCTAACCTTTGTACAGCGATGAGGGAAATTCTTGAAGAGTCAGCTGCTTTGAGTAAAACTCTGCACCTACTGTTGGCTTAGCCTTCTGAGACTCCTTCAATAAATTGAATGTCTGAAGAAGTGAGGATTTACCGACTCCTGAGTCACCTATTATGAGAATCTTAGAGAAGTTTTTATGAGAAAGATTGCTGTTGCTCTTCTGTGACATTAATGGATTTTAATAATTAAAATATCATCTATCTTTATATTAATATTTGTAAGCTTTTATAATAATTTCCCTTTTATCCAAAATATATCATTGCGGGGTTTTGGGGTTTTGGGG